TCGCCTAACATTTCCAAGGAAGAGTTGCGTATTTTCCTTCAGAAGCCAAGATGCCTCGAAAATGTGTGAACAACACAACACTTTTGCTACATTTGTGGCGAGATTACATTGCATTATAAAAGTGCAGCATGACAGCAGTTATGAAAATGACACTCCACCTAAATTTTTGATGAAAACGGGATCAGAGGAGAGTTGCATGGCTGTTTATGGTTGCATCATATGCGCAACTGATCTGTGTCATTGGCTAAAGAAGAAAAGGTCCATGCCTTTCGCCGTCCCCATGGAGAGGTGGGCACCCACCAATCATAGCCGGGAGTGCTATTTTTGCATGGTTCCCCCAGTTGCAAAATGGATCTCAAGAAAAGTGGACTATGGAACTCTGAAACTTTCCATCCGCACTGCATCCTGTAGCCCATTGGGAGGACTTGCCAATTCCGATCTCCCGGAATATGACACCCGAGACTGGCAAAACATGTTTCCTAGCCATATTCTGCTGCGGTGAATGGGAGTGGCTGTGCTGTGCTGGACGGGAGCGAGAGCCACCTGTGCGCCGTCGCATTAACTCAGCCCGAGCTGCACTGCTGGCTCAGAAGCGAGCCTCAGAAGCACATCTTTTCCGCTGCCTGGTGCCCCGTGCCTGTCCTCCGTCCCTCTTCCAGGCCGAGGCAAAACTGCAGGCGTGTCGGCCTGCCTAGGAGCTAAAATATGAGCTTACAGAAGACGAAAGACCCTGAGAGACCCTCCAAGGCCGCACTCTGGCAATGAGCATACTCAATACTAGGGGGAAAGTTTGAGACGGAGTCTCAGATTGTGAGATATGGAGTGAAGGGCTCAGGTTACAAGCAGCCCCCACCTGGTTAGTTATCAGGAAAAAGTCCCGGACTGTCGGAGCAGCATGCCAAGATCCAGTTGCCCTGGCAGTCTGTGGACGCTGCAACGTGCAGGCATGCGAGAAGCAACTGGGCAGCCGCTGGGGAGGGAGGACTCCCCGTGGAGACCGGCACCGAGCAGGCAGGTGGGACCGAAGGCCCTGCAGAACTGTCCAGCCTGCCCTTCCAGGACGCCCCCTGGCGGGGCTGTCCTGCAGCGCAAGAACAGGGGGTTTCGAGGGTCTGAGGAGGCCACCGAGCCCGAAGCCCCGCTCAGGGCAGGAGTCCAGCTGGAGCATCGCTGGCAGGCGGCTGTCCAGATAACCTCTTGCAGGCCTCCAGGGGCAGGAGGGCAGCGCAGGGAGGGCAGCTGGAGTGGGGAGGAGGGCAGGAGCAAGGCAGGCACAGGCAGAGACGGTCTTCCTGCGCCAGCCCTGCAAGGGAAGCTGCTCCACCCAGGAGAATTTGCTTTCACCTGCTCCAGGTCAAGGCATTCATGTAGTCCAGGCTCAGCACTGAACCTCGCGCTTGGAGAGCAAAGAAGAGCCGCTCGGATGCTGGCCCTGTTCCCCCCCACCCCGCCCCCACTCCTGCACAGCAGAAAGAGAGAGGGAGGGGCCCTGTGGCTTCCCCACCGTGGGGTCTTTTCTGAGGAAGACCCCCACCAGCATAGCAGCTCTGTCATCCTCCATGCATTTATTTATTTAGACTGCTTATATGCCGCCCCCTTCGCATAAGCCTCCGGGTGGCTTACAATAATTAAAATCCCACATATAAATACAAAAAAAAAATGAGCCATAGAATAAATAAAATACATAACATAGTGGAAACAGCCTGGTCAGTTTAAAATCAACAAATAAACCTTAACTATTAAAACAGTGTTTAAATAAAAAGGTCTTGGCCTGGCGCCGAAGAACAAATAACGAAGGCGCCAGGCGCACCTCTCTGGGAAGTGCAGTCCATAGGTTGGGCGCCACCGCAGAGAAAGCCCTCCTCCAAGTACTCACCCTCCTAATATCCTTCACGGAGGGTTCCCGGGGAAGGGCATCTGCCGCTGATCTCAAGATGCGGGAGGGCATATATGAACGCAGGCGCTCCTTTAGGTAACCAGGACCTAAGTCGTTCAGGGCTTTGTAGGTGATAACCAGCACCTTGAATTGCGCCCGGACTTCAATGGGGAGCCAGTGGAGCTGACGGAGATGTGGGGTTATATGAGAACGACGTCCAGTCCCCATCAGCAGCCTGGCAGCTCTATTTTGCACCAATTGAAGTATCCGGACCATCTTCAAGGGCGGCCCCACAAAGAACGTGTTACAGAAGTCTAGTTGGGAAGTGACCAATGCGTGAGTCGCTGTTGCCAAGCAGTCGTTCCCCAGGTAGGGGCGCAGCTGGTGAATCAGCCGAAGATGAAAGGAAGCGCTCCTCGCCACCGCTGTTACTTGAGCTTCCGGCGAAAGCTCTGGATCGAGGAGCACTCCCAACCTGTTTTTGTGACTCTTCCCGGTACATTCCCCATCCATGCTGAACCTTAGCTGGGATAAGTAGAACAGGAGACGGTGTTTCTAGTGCAGTTGCTACAGAGAACTGTACAAGCGGAATAAGACCCAGAAATTCTACCTTTGCTTCCATTCCCCACTGTGACCAGAATGCATTTGTATGGCTTCTCTCCAGTGTGGGTTCTTTGATGCCTTATAAGATGTCCCCTCTGACTTGAAGGCCTTTCCACATTCCATGCATGTGTAAGGCTTCTCTCCCGGTTGGGATTTTTTTTTTAAATTTATTAAAATTTTTAAACTAATACTAAAACATCAATCATCTAATACATCAGACGTACTGGGTCAGCCCCCTACTCATTTTTTTAAAACATTCCTTAGTCATATTCAAATCCATTCATGATAACTTAAAAAACATATTTAAATCTAAGCCAATTCCAAAAACATGTTGAATGCTATGCGAAGTCCCGTTTCTCTAGCCAATAATAAAAGAAAAAATTCCCAAGTTTGATAGATGTCAGTATCTTCTTTCTCCTTCAAGGATAAATTCAGTCTGACCATTCCTGCACAATCCAGGATCTTTTAATCAATTCATCGATGGGTAATTCCTCATTGTTCCAGTATTAAGCAAATACACTCCTCACCGCAATGATTACATGTAAAGTCAGATACATTTCTTATTTACTAATGTCCCAGTATAATGCCTAATAAAAAAAGAAATTTCAGGTTTAAGAAACTAAGGATTTTTGTACCACTTCCTCTACCATATATAAAAAATACCCAATTTATGTTTACATATCCAACATCCATTTGACATCTTTAAAAACTTCTTGGCTAATCTATTTGGCGAAAGCTACCACCTATAACACATCTTATACAAGCTTTCTTTATATGAAGTTGCTAATATTTCACCTAATTTAAGCATCACTTAGTCAAATACTATTAACTCCTTATAAAAGCCCCACTCTTTACAATCTTTAACATATCTCGATTGTATCTGCACCTTATGTCACCAAAAGATATCAATTCCCTGTTCTTGTATTTCTTAGTTCAATTTCAATCCTCCATCTTTATCCAAAATGTACATCATATCTTATAATCCCTTCAACATTCTATGCATTTGGATATTGAGAAGCTTCCATGGGTGAAAAAACATCTTAGTATACCTTTTCCTACACCAACATTAATGGTTTTCAGGTATAGTAACTTAAAAAAAAAATCATGTAACTTAGCCTTCTCATACCACATATAAACATGCCAACCCATTTAAATCATTCCTTTTAAAATAGAAAATTCTCTTATTTCTTCTTTACACCCCTGCCCCATCTCTCTTCCTTTGCTGTCAGTATCTGTAGTGCTTGTTGTAAATCGGTATCCATTTCCAGTGTCTGTACCTCTTGTTGCAAATCAGTATTCACTATTTCTCCTTCCTCAGAATGATATGTAGTTAGTTCGGCACCTATCCCTCCTTCTTTCAGGCATCCAATTTTTTTTCAGACATACTTCTAAATTTTTCATACACCCCTTCTGCCTTAAAAATCGAGTCCAGTTGGTATCTTGTTAACGTTCCAGGTAAGAGACGTTCCTTCTGTCGATCAAATATCTGGATACCTTCTCCCTCTCTAGTATAACAAGCAAATCCCATGATAAATGGTTTACCGGCTTTATTCATTTCTTTATCAACCGTTTCAAGTTTTTCATATGCTTGTTGTATTCTTTGTGTATTTTTTTCAGTTTTAAATTGAACAACCACCAAAACCCCCTTAATAGAATTATCCAGTTTGTTGAGACGTTCTCTTTGTTCAATTGAAATGTTTTCCTGTTGAATTAACATCGCCTCTTGGGATGACTGCAAAGCTGTTAAGGATGTCTGTATCGCCAGAAGCGTCATCTGTAGCTCCTTTTGATATTTTCCAACTTCTGCTGCTTTGGGTTGATGAACAGGACTCTGAAGATTTGTTGTAGATGCCTTTTCCATAGTGGTAATAATTTTTACCAAACGTTACAAGACAGCAACAAAGAAATAGAGAAGGCAATAAAAATATTTGCTATAAATCTAAATAGCCACAGTGTGGGAGCAAAGGGCAATTTTTCCTTAAATGGCAAAAGAGAAATGGCGACACGAGGTGATATTTTGGTATGAAGGTTGCTTTGGCAAGAGTCCAAGAAAAAGAAAGAAAAACGGCCAATCAAAATAAACTTTATCTTCTATCACGTTGTTCCACAGTAATTATTTATTCTGATTCTTCACCCTTGCGGAGGTGAGAAAAAAGAGGTCTTTCCCTCCAGCCCCAAACTTTCCAAAAGAGCCTCAGTTCCTCTCCCCCAGAACAGTCGCCACTTAAAACTCCGTGAGGGGAGGAAGAATTCCTCCCTCCATCAAAGGGCATCCCCTTTCTTCTTTATGCCAAATTAGAAGCTATTGCTGCTCGTCACAGGTAGTATAGAAGAAAAAAAAGATAAAAATGCTTACCCAGCAGGTCCGATGAACTTCCAGCTAATTCTTCTATGCAATTCTCCCGGATGTCAATGGCTTGTAGGGAGCTGTTATCCTCCCTCTGTGTTGTCTGATTGAGAAAAGCCCAAATCTCTCCCAATAAATTCGGAGCCACTACCCTGCGCAATTACAAGAGTGCCCGGACAATCTAATCTTTGCCCTGACAGGGCTTGGATGAACCTCCCACGGCTTTCTGCTGAACAAATACTGGCGTGATAGCAGGAACCCCCACTCCTCAAAGCCGTGCCGCCACGACACCAAACTGGAAGCCTCCAATGTGGGTTTTTTGATGCCTTATGAGATGTCCTCTCTGACTGAAGGCCTTTCCACATTCCGTGCATTTGTATGGCTTCTCTCCAGTGTGGGTTCCCTGATGCAGTATAAGATGTCCCCTCTGACTGAAGCTCTTTCCACATTCGATACATGTGTATGGCTTCTCTCCAGTGTGGGTTCTTTGATGCAATATAAGACATCCCCTCCACCTGAAGCTCTTTCCACATTCCATGCACGTGTATGGCTTCTCTCCAGTGTGGGTTCTTTGATGCCTTATGAGATTTCCCCTCTGACTGAAGGTCTTTCCACATTCCATGCACGTGTATGGCTTCTCTCCAGTGTGGGTTTTTTGATGCCTTATGAGATTTCCCCTCTGACTGAAGGTCTTTCCACATTCCATGCATGTGTATGGCTTCTCTCTAGTGTGCGTTCTTCGATGCTTTCTAAGACTTCCACTATGAATGAAGCTCTTTCCACATTCCATGCATGTGTATGGCTTCTCTCCAGTGTGGGTTCTTTGATGCAGTATTAGACATTCCCTCCAACTGAAGCTCTTTCCACATTCAATGCATGTGTATGGCTTCTCTCCAGTGTGGGTTCTTTGATGCAGCAAAAGATACCTCCCCTGACCGAAGCTCTTTCCACATTCCATGCATGTGTGTGGCTTCTCCCCTGTGTGGGTCCTGCGATGATGACTACGACCTGCACTCCCACTGAAGGCCTTTCCACATTCCATACATTTGAATGGCTTCTCTCCAGTGTGGGTTCTTCGATGCCTTAAAAGATTTCCACCAGAAGTGAAGCTCTTTCCACATTCCATGCATGTGTATGGTTTCTCCCCAGTGTGGGTCCTGTGATGTTGAGTGAGCTCTCCACTCCCACTGAAGCTCTTTCCACATTCCATGCATTTGAATGGCTTCTCTCCAGTGTGGGTTCTTCTATGCCTTATAAGATGTCCACTAGAAGTGAAGCTCTTTCCACATTCCATGCATGTGTATGGTTTTTCCCCAGTGTGGGTCCTGTGATGTTGAGTGAGCTCTCCACTCCAACTGAAGCTCTTTCCACATTCCATGCACATGTATGGCTTCTCCCCAGTGTGGGTTCTTTGATGTTGAGTGAGATCTCCGCTCCCACTGAAGGCCTTTCCACATTCTGTGCATTTGTATGGCTTCTCTCCAGTGTGGGTTTTTTGATGCCTTATGAGATTTCTACTCTGACTGAAGGTCTTTCCACATTCCATGCATGTGTATGGCTTCTCTCCAGTGTGGGTTCTTCGATGCTTTCTAAGACTTCCACTATGACTGAAGCTCTTTCCACATTCCATGCATGTGTATGGCTTCTCCCCAGTGTGAGTTCTTTGATGCAGTATAAGACATCCCCTCCAACTGAAGCTCTTTCCACATTCCATGCATTTGTATGGCTTCTCTTCAGTGTGCGTTCTCTGATGCTGTATGAGATATCCACGCTGACTGAAGCTCTTTCCACATTCCATGCATGTGTATGGCTTCTCCCCAGTGTGGGTTCTTTGATGCAGTATAAGACATCCCCTCCAACTGAAGCTCTTTCCACATTCCATGCATGTGTAAGGCTTCTCTGCAGTGTGGGTTCTTTGATGCAGCATAAGACATTTCCCCTGACTGAAGCTCTTTCCACATTCCATGCATGTGTGCGGCTTCTCCCCTGTGTGGGTCCTGCAATGATGAATACGACCTGCACTCCCACTGAAGGCCTTTCCACATTCCATGCATTTGAATGGCTTCTCCCCAGTGTGGGTTCTTTGATGCCTTATAAGATTTCCACCAGAAGTGAAGCTCTTTCCACATTCCATGCATGTGTATGGTTTCTCCCCAGTGTGGGTCCTGTGATGTTGATTAAGCTCTCCACTTCCACTGAAGGCCTTTCCACATTCCATGCATTTGTATGGCTTCTCTCCCGTGTGGGTTCTTTGATGCCTTATAAGATTTCTACTACAAGTGAAGCTCTTTCCACATTCCATGCATGTGTATGGTTTCTCTCCTGTGCAGGTTCTTTGTTGTCGGGTAAGGGGTATACTCTGACTGAAGGCTTTTACACATTCCATGCATGTGCAAGGCTTCTCCCCAGTGTGAGTTCTTGGACGCCTTCTAAGTTTTCCACTCCCTCTGAAGCTCTTTCCACATTCCTTGCTTTTCTTTGCTGCCTCCCCATTGTGCTTTCTTTGGCATGTAGAAACATCACTTGGATCACTGAAGGGCTTACAATATTCCATGTATTTATAGAGCTGCTCTGCAGGCTGGGCTCCTCCACCCTCTGGAAGCCTTTCACCAGCCCTTAAGCTCTGCCTACTTTCCATGATCATACAGGGCTTCCTCAATTGCTGGATCGCTGATGCCCATTAAGTCAGTTCTTGCTCTCTGAGACTTGTTCCAAGGTAGACATGTTCACCTGCGTCCTGCAGAGGGCTAGATGGAGAGAGAGGTTCCTGCATGGCTCTCTTTCAACATTCTGCACATTCTTTCATTCCAGACGATTGTTTCCAACACTGTGAAAAATACTGGATTATTGTCTCCTGTTCTTTACTTGGTTTTCCCTGTGCTTTTTGCATTCTGTGCATTTGGAAATGTCTCTTTTCTCACTTCATCCTCACTTGTTTCTGATGATATGATGCAGGGATCCAAATAATTCAACTGTCTTGCAATTCATCTGCTTGGGAGGAAAGAGAAAATGAAAATCTCGGTAGGAATGAATGGCCGAAACAGATGAGTTCATTCCAGCTCAAGGCAAAGTTGGCAACTTTCTTGCCAACATCTCCAACGTTCCCCCTTCTGCACTTTGGAAGCCCTGCCAAAGCCTCGCTTCTGAGGAATTGCCTTCAAGTGAAGAGCTCACATACGGTGAACTCTTGAGAAACTCTGAACTGTCTAGGTAGCCAGACAAGGAAGTATTTCCGGTAAGAACTGAAAGCTAATACTTACGGGTATTGCACTGGCAGTAAAGTTGAGATCATAAAATGTCTGAAGAACTCTTACCAAATGCGTAGAGATGTGGCATAAGGAACAGACACACAGAGAGAAAAAAATTGCAAGGAGCGCTGCAAAGAAAAGATCCAGACCATGGACCGCCCTCCTCCAGCAGCTCCCAGTGAGGCAGACAAGTGGGCAGAAACCTGGCCATCCCTTCGACGGGGCATTTTCAGGCAGGAATATTGCAATCCTGCCAGGAATGCCTCAGCTGGGCAAGGGTGCGGCCCCTACAATGGACTTAAAGGTTCTGCGTATCCCAAAGGAATTGCATGCAGCATCCAGGTTGACTCACAAGGAAACTTACTGATCCTTGAGACACTGGAAATGCACAGAAGACCAGCAACCATCACTCAGCCAGGCTCCCATCAGCCCGAAAGGAGGAAAGCAAACCCTGCTCTTCTTCACAGTGAGAGCCTGGCTGGATGCAGGTGAGCGCTCTGAAGGTCCCTCGAAGGGAACCACATGGGCTTCAGGGTCACACCAAGCCTGGCTCTGCCCCTGGCAAAACACGTTTCCTAGCCACATGCTCATTCCGCTGCGGTGACTGAGAGGGGTTGTGCTGTGCTGGAGGGAAGCGAGAGCCACCTGTGCGCTGTCGCATTAACTCAGCCCGAGCTGCACTGCTGGCTCAGAAGCGAGCCTCAGAAGCACATCTTTTCCGCTGCCTGGTACCCCATGCCTTTCCTTCATCCCTCTTCCAGGCAGAGGCCAAAGCGCAGGCGCGCCTTCCTGCCTGCCTATTTGGCAAGGAGCTACAATATGTGCTGACAGAAGACGGCAGACCCTGAGTGACCCTCCAAGGTTGCACTCTGGCAATGAGCATACTCAATACTAGGGGGAAATTTGAGATGGGGCCTCAGATTGTGAAACATGGAATGAAGGGCTCAGGTTACACGCAGCCCCGTCCTGGTTGGAAATCAGGAAAAAGTCCCTGTCGGAGCAGCATTTTACACATTTAGCTTCCTTCTTCCAAAACACTCCCCTCTCACCATAGATCCTCTAACCTTTGAAAAGTGGCTCTCTATCCAAGCCACTTTCGGCTGCTTGGAGCAGTCCTCATCTCCCGGTTCATTCCCCAATTTCCTGCTCACTCATATCTAAAATGCCCCCAAATTATCTGATGGGCCCTTTGATGTCCAAAAGCGAATTTCCCCTTATTTCCCTTTGCCAACAAGCATCAGTGGGCAACCTTGAGGTCTTGCTGCACGGCTCTCCACCCTGGATTAGCTGCCCACCCTTGCTCTATCCCTGCTTCCACTGTAACCCAGCTGTAGTA